CTAGATTGAACAGTTATCTCCTGGAGAAAGCAATGATTGCAGTGTTTTTCTAAACCAAAATCAGCTACTTAATCAACAATTTGAAAGATTTACAAATAATTTCTAGATTGGGAGTTTGGTTGAACGAGGAATGCCTTCGCCGTAGTCTCAAAACGGTTCTCCTTTACGCTGATCAGGAAAACGCCGACCCATACACTAGGACTGGAACGAGTTTCCGCGAGCAGGTGGGCGTGGCCGAGTGGCTAACGGCTTTCTTTTCCAAACGCCACTCCCGGGTTCGATCCCCGCTAAAGCCAATCAAGAAACAAAAAAAGCCAAATGATTACAGTTTATTTGCTACTCTAGAAGAAATGATGTTGAGAAAGACATTAATGATGGCTTTTATTCTATTTTGCTTTTAGGTGAAAGACTTGATCTTCAATTTGCACATGATTCTATCGGATACGGTGAAAATGAAAGAGTTCGCGAACGATTTTCACATGACGATCGATTTGATGTACCGAGTGGCAAAAGGCTATCAGAATAACCCGGATTTAAGGCAGGATTTAAGGCGGATCATTTTCGAGGATTTTATGGGAAATTTTCAGAGTGACCTGGTTGCTGAATATGGCGTCAAGACAAGCCGATGCTGGCCTTCATGCTGGTGGGATCTTTTTGAACATAAAGTTACTGATACATCTAAATTGGTAAATATACGTCTTATATTAACCGACTAATATTAACCGACTTATATTAACCTAAACTTTTCAGAGTCGGCTCTTTGCATCATTCACGCAGCTGCTCTGGTGGCTGAGTATCTAGCGATGACGAATATTGAAGAGTTCGTTGAGAAAAAGTTTAAGAATAGAAAAAGTTTAAGAAAAGATTATTTTATGAGTTTATTGCTTTAAGATTTGATAAATATTTGTATAAGTAATGCTTATAATTGCATTTTTTTAGATACTATCCAAAAGGAGCCGTTGATTTCGGGGAAATCAGTGAGAATATACTGGAGGAGAGTGCCGTTTCTGATGATGTTGTGAGGTAAAATGAAAGAAAAAAAACATCAATTGTCAATTCTAGTTCGATTTTGCAAGGTTTAGAATGTTAAATTGATCGTATAGTGTATAGTTTTGCAAGGTTTAGAATAAGAAATTACTCAAAAATTAGTCATCTTCAAGATATTCAAGATATTCAGTTAATTTTGTCTACTTATTCTTAGTGATTTTGCCCACCTTTATTCCATAACTTTTTGTAATTTAGTAATTTGAATTTAAAATAAGCTTTTGAACTTGTGCTTTGATACAAGTAGAATATAGGTTTGTTTTTTGCGATGGAAATGTAAATTGAGGCCAAACTTAATAGCCTGATGTTAAAAAATTTCTACATTCTTTATTATAATTCCATTAGCTTATTAGACTAAACAGCTACAATTTAAACTTTAAAATACTTCTTTTCAAATCCTAATTTAGTCCCGAAGTGGAGGGCATTTGTGAGTCGCGGCATTTCTCCGCCGAAGGACTTGTTCATTTGGTGGAAAGAGGAGCGAATCTCTTGGAGAAAGCTGGAATGTACGAGGCTTTACCACATCTGTATAAGGTTTGAAAATAAAAGAAAAGAAAAGAAAATAAAAGACAAGGAAATAAAGAAACAAGTAAAAATGTATTCTATTAAAAGACTTCAGGTAATCGAGCCAATCGTTTGGGAGTGGAGAGATTTTCAACGGCTCGCCGCCATTCATTTGAGACTTTCGAGTGGGTTTTTGACGGATTTTCAAATGAATTTATAGATTTTTTTGAAAACGAATAGATATTCAGTATGTATATCATTTTAAAATTAGAATATTTCAGCTTCTTTATCGAAAATCGAGCCCTCTATTTGTGTGCTGGATAACGCGGCCGATATGTGGGGAAGCCCGTTGGCTAGGTAGAAATATTAGCATTTAGAAGTGTTAAATGATTGAAAACTAATCAATAACGTATAAAATGCATAATATAGCGTAATATTTTCATTTTAGTGCCGATAAACGTTGCTTTGGCACGTATTTCCGCGTGGGTTTCTATGGAGAGAAATTTGGGGATCTCGATGGAGAGGAATACATTTACAAGGTGGGCTTGGAATCGATAATCTGAATTGAATCTGAATATAAAGATGTTTTGAAATTATGCAAATTTTAGGAGCCACCATTTACAAAGTTATCTGAGATCTCGTCTCGTTTGGAGGCTTTCTATTCGGATCGTTTCGGGCATGGAACGGTTGAAGTGATCAAGGATAGCAATAATGTATGAGAGATTCGGAAATGATAGAAAATGACACAATTATTGCTGATATATTATGGCTATACTTTAAAGAACTAAGCAAAACTGGTAGATAAAAGTGGATACGGCGTAGTTATTTATACTGTAAACTAGCTACTATTAAGACCGTAAGCTTATTAGCTTAACCTAACAGCGGGATTTTCTGGCTGGATGGCTTAAAAACGGGTTTTTTTGGCAGGCGTTTGGGCTCGCCGTGATGGAGTCGAGAGCGTGCTTGTCTGCAGGCCACACGGTCTGGGTTCGATCCGGTCCGGGCCCCGTATTGGCACTTAATCATGACTTTTTAAAGCTTTTATTTGAATGTCACAACTATATTAGATTTTGAGACTTTTTAAAGAATTTCAGTGTTTTTGGCCTAAAGATGGCTGAGAAAAAGCCCGTACAGACGGACGGATAGACATTGCTCTTTTATATAGTATTTATATTGTAGCTAAAGTTACCGTAATCTATTCAGGTCGTCCGTACTGCTCACAGCTCGTCGAAAGCCTACCTCCAGATCACCTATGTCGAGCCATACTTTGAGAAATGGGAGAAACGACGTCGACCCACACATTATGAAAGAAGTCACAATGTGAAGAGGTAGCAAAAGAAATCGACTTGTAACTGAATCAATTATTTCCAGATTCATCTTTGCCACTCCGTTTACTCGAGATGGAAAAGCGCACGGAGATCTGAAAGATCAATACAAAAGGAGAACCATTCTCACAACACAAAATGCGTATGTAAAATTTGTATGAAAAAGTACAACGAATTTTAGATTCCCATACGTGAAGTCGAGAATTCGAGTCGTCCAAAAGGAGCAAAAAGTTCTCACGCCGATTGAAGTCGCAATTGAAGACATTGAAAGAAAGGTGATTAGAGATTCGACTCGTGATAATCAAATCAAGCATTGAGCCTTTTAGACTCGAGAACTCTGCGCGGCAATGTCACAATCGCCACCAGATGCAAAAATGCTCCAAATGGTGGTGCAAGGTTGCATTGGCACCCAAGTGAATCAAGGGCCAATCCAGGTATTGAACAAAACGATGAACATGGACACTACAAACTACAAGGTCAGACTATAAACCCTTGTAGAAACGTTCAGAATGAATATTTTTGAAAACTTTTTTACCAAGGAATTGGGCAAACTGTAGGCTTTCGAATGACACCAAAATCAGGCCAAATCATGTTCTTGACACTGAGATATGAAGTTTTTCCAGGGTAGACTACAAATAGCTATAAATGGTTTGTTCTCAGAGTAAAAATTATGAATTTTCTTGGTTTTAGTGTCATTCGAATGCCAAAAGATGGCAAAGTTTTTAAAAATATCTATTCTACGTAATTCTACAAGGGTTTATAGTTTGACCTTGTAGTTTTTAGCGTCCATGTCTAGTATCTAGTAGATTAACCAATAATTAAACGATATCTAGGTGGCCAACGTGTTCCTCGTCAATTGTGCATTGGATGAACGGGGCAAACCCGTTGATCGACTGCAAAACAAGCTCCGGCTTTGCTTCAAAGATTTTAGGTATTGCAATGTAACTGTAAAGTTCATAATCCATTAAAGCTTGGGTTTGACTAGCTGATTTCAAGTCAACACCCGATCTTCACAAATAAGCCATTCAAAATTCTTTTGGATCAACAAATAGAGCTAGGGAACACTCATAGTTACAGTTAACGATACCAGCAATTGGTTGATCAAATAACATCAAATAACAATGCAAAATTTCAGCAAGAAATGCTGTGACGCTTTGATGTTAAACAAGCAACTCATCCAACCCGATCAATTGGCCTATCAGGTGCTTGAGTGAAAACATTCATAAACAAATCCCACTTTAGAACGAGTTGCAACGAAACTATGACGAGTTCAGCAAGCGAATGGCGCCCATTTTGGGGACGCCGATTCGCACTCGAGACCGCAACAGTGAAAGGGATCTCCCGAATTCGGTGAGGTTTCAAAAGAAAATAGACCGGAAACCAATTTGAATCCATTTCCAGCGCCTTTCCACAATATCCGTATAGTAGGTTTGATGTAGTTGGATATAGAATAGTGGCTACTTGTGTGGCTAAACTCTATCACAACTTTCAAAAACAACAATTCCAGGGACAAAACGAAGTTTTTCTCTTCGCCAGTGATCTCGGACTGGCTACGAATGTTTAAAATACGTTTTTTGCCTCCTAAAAAGTGCTCTATTGTGAATTGCTCTATTTTATTGCGAAAGTACGGTAAATTGCAGCCTTTTAGCTGAATATCTTTTGAGTCTCTATTTAGAATGTTGAAATTTGCGTTACTTGCTTATCAGTGAGAAGTTATCACTTTCTTTATTTTGTGCAAGTTTTGAAATGTGCAACTTTCGGAGCTTTTCTACTTTGTTCTCAAGACATCTCTTGTAAATATTGCTTTAAGAAATCTATTTATTAGAGCTCGGGTCAGCTGTATTTGTGTTGATCGTTCTCAAAAGGCATTATCCCCCTTAAAATTTGTCATAAAACAATTTTTCTGGTGCTATTTTGATTCATAATAAACTTTGAAAAGAAAAGAACTAGATCCGCTAATTGCTTTTTCATTTTCATCTCTTGAAAGTTGACTATTGACTTTACAAAGCTCTTTCTTTTAGAGAACTTTAACAAAATGGTTTTCCTGCCACCACACAACGATGTTTCTCTTCAGGATGAAGGTATTAACTTTGAAATTTGTTAAAAAGTCTTTGGATTTTGGGTTCGATGTTTTCCTCGGCTTTGCTTTCTTCAACGCTTACTGGTGATGTTCCGGAAGGATTTGTTGTTCGTCCACTCAACATCGGAGATTACGACAAGGGGTCAGTTTTATTTGAATTAAAAGATTGAAAAACTGAAGAGACTTTTTAGATTTCTTTCCCTGCTCTCTCAGTTGACACGGGTTGGTGATGTGACTCGGGAAAACTTCGTTACGCGTTTCCGCACCATGGCTGACACTCGTCCCACCTCTTACTACGTTGTCGTGATTGAAGAGACGAGGTATCTTGTCTTTGGATTTGCTAAGAAACTAACCGTTAAGTTTTTTTCTAGCACTCATCAACTTGTCGGTTCGGCAACTCTCGTTCTTGAATGGAAGTTCATTCATGCAGCTGGTGCACGTGCTCGAATTGAAGACGTTGTGAGTTTATTTTTTCTTTGTTTTACCTTTTCAATATAAACAATATTAGGTTATTCGGCATGATATGCGAGGCCGTAAACTTGGAGCCTTGCTAAATCGAGTTCTCGTGTCGCTCGCTAAGCTGGTAACGTTTTTGCTTTCCAGTTGTTATTATTTACTTTATTATTAGTTTGGTGTTTACAAGATCTCATTGGAGTGCAAGGATTCTCTCATTCCTTTCTATGAGCTTAACGGTTTCAAGAAAGACGAAGGAAACAATTTCCTTGTTCAAAGGTAGCTTTATCTTTGTTTTTCTTATACTTAAAGTGCTTAGGTTTGACAAGGATATTACCATTTCACCGACCAATGATACACTCGAGACAGCCCCAGAAGTTGAGCAAAGCAAAATTTAAAATAAAGTACTATAGATTGCAGCCATTAGAATTCTTTTGTAGTTTCTTTAAGATTTTTATGTTGTTTGATTTGAATCCTCCTGTGTGCCTTCATTCCCTGCATAATGTGATACCCTTTGCTTATGCTTATGCATAATACTTTTCCAGTTATAATTGAATAAAAATTTTGACTAATTATTCAAATCAGCTTATCAGTTAAATGGTCAAAAGTATTTGTCTCTTGTGAATGGAAATTTGTCCATTTTAACTTGTTTTTAGATTCTCCGTCAGTTAGATGAGCCTTGATCAAAAAGTAGATTCGCATATTCAGGTAGTCGTTGTTATTGTCGTTTATGCAAAATTCTTGAATTTAGTGGAACCACGTGTTTGGCTACATCGATTCGGAGTGGATTACTCATAAATTGCCAAAGGTAAATTATTTGTTAAAGTTTGTATTCTGTGTTTTTTTTCAGGAGGTGATTCCAATCCCGCGAGAGCACGTTCCCGATCCGGACGCGGACGCCCTCCCGGCAACTTTGGCCAACAAGGTGGGTAATTTTTTTACAATTATACAGCTTGTTTAATTGAGGCAGATTTTCTTCTTTTAGGAGAACGCTATTGAAGCCGCTCAAAAGTGGACTGACGCTGCGATCGAACGCATCCATCTCGGAGGACCAGTTTCTCATTAAATTTTTCAAACAGGTAAGCAACAACTCTTTTCTGTTTTAATTTTTCAATTTTGCTAGGCATATTCATTGCGCAACAATGGGTAATGAACAATCAGCGTCTGGTCCTTCAAACTCTACTCAACCATCCACTTCTACTTTTTCATTTCTATCAAATCGAGGTAAGCGTAATTTTTGAGACAATTTGGAGATTGTTCTTTAGCAAGCGTCAAGAAAGTCGGCGGCATAGTCAAGGTTTCCGATGGGCAATCAAAGCTAATCGATCCAAATGATGATCCCGATTATAAGAGATTAATGGTATGTTGCAGTATTTTAGGTGTAATCAGTTAAAACGTTTTGTAGGACATTCCCCGTTTTCTACCAATATTGCGAGACACGGTTCCTGCTGGTAGAAGACTTGTAATGGATAATCAAAATCTTTTCTCTTATCGGTGGGTTCATTTTTCAAACATTCAATTTTTATATGTATACTTTTAACTTTTAGACCACTTTGGCGTTTGTCCGTAAGGCTGCAATCACATCTGCACGGTCAGGCTCAGGGGATTGCACAAGAACAGGGAAGAATAACTCAACTCATCAAAACGGTCAGTAATTATTTTGAAATCAAAACCTTGTTATTGATTTTAGGTTGATGTTACCTCGGCTGGTATTGCTGCAAAGTTATTGGAGCGACGTAAAAAGTAAATCCTCATTTTCTTCACGATATCATCACAGTTTTAATTTAGATACGACCGGCTTAGGGGTGCCCTTGCTCATGTTACACAATTACGAGACGAAGTTGTGCGAATACAGGTTGGGTTTAAATGATTGTTAGTTATAGCTGAGTTGTTTTAGCTTTTACTCGAAGAAATTGTGCCAACCGTGGATACGCTCAATGAGTTGCTTACTCCATCGTCTCGACTACCTCCGCTTGACCTCAAGCAATTCTCAACAAAAAGGACGATGATTTAGGTAAAATTATTTCTTTTTAATGAGACTTACCAGGTTTTAGCATCGCATATCTTTCACCAAATGCCGGTTGAAGAGACCCAAGTTGTCGACGCTTAAAACTTCATTCCCGTGTCTTTTTTATTTGCCATATCTTTGAGTGAAATAATTTCAACCTTTGTTCTGTAATTTCGATTTCAGGCTGAATAAATTGTAAACAGCATTCTCTGTTTATGGTCCCATTATGTTAAACATTATACACATAAACAGAAAATGCTGTTTTAAGAACCTCGAGTTGGCTCCATTGTTCACTCCTTTGTTGCGAGAGTAAGGGGTCACTCGCTCCATATTGTTTTACTCCCATTCATTGCATGACCTCGTTGACTCTAGTCGTACATAGTGGCCGACACCACTCACGTCACAAGTAGATTTGTTACGTTTATGTACTCGAAAGTTTATTTGTAAAACAAAGCACAGAAATAACGAGAGGTCGAAAATTGTGAAAAGTGAAAAGTAAAGATAACCAGGAACGTACAACAACGACCAAATAGATATTATAACTAAGTTTACTAAAGATCATAAACAATGTTAAAAAAATTTCGACCAAAGTATCTACATAAATTAAATGTTGGGTCTAGGCGTTATCATTTGAAACTCTTTGGATGATTGAGATGGAGAGAGGGAGGAGTTTGTCTTTCGTCGTCTGTTCACTTGATACCAGTCATAATCAAAATCCTCCTAAACTCAGTAGAAGCGTACACAACAATAGTTCGGTGCAAAAAACAACCTAACAGTACAGTAAAATATAAAACATTTGTAAAACAACAACAAACCTTCATGTTCTGACTGAGAAAGTAGTTTCTGAAAATTTGTCGACAATGCCCGTAATCCGGATTTTGATGATAACCAAGGCCGCGAACATAAGCGAGGTACTCTTGATAACATGGTGGAAGACCGACGCATAGCTTCTCAAGTGAAATCGATATTTTCTAAAACCATCCTACAAAATTTAGTTATTAAATTATATTTTACCACTGCACCAATCCTCTTATTTCGGCGTTTCTTGGATCGTGTAACGACTCCCATCCACGGTAGAGAACCGGTGCTAAATTGGACGAGGATATAGCCGAGAGCTTCTAGATCGTCTCTAAATACATACTCTTGCTATTTAAATGAAAACTGAAAACTAACCTTCTAGCTTGTTCGACACCTAGATGCGTGTTTAAAGAGACGTAACGCGTAGTTCCGATAAAACGTTTGTATTCATGATAATTGATGTGACCGGTGAACGGATTTTTGCGATATCTGAAAAAAGAACAAGAGTAAAACAGGGAGCTAGTAAGCGGAATTCCAAAAAACGTATGCATTTTAAAATCAAGAGATAAAACAATCCCTCTATCTTGTTTTTGGTGCAGTAACAAAGTTTACACAAAAACTAACCTCTTTGCTAAGCCGAAATCGATGAGATGTACTCGATTACAACTCTGACCGTTACCCATCAAAAAATTGGCGGGTTTTATATCTCGATGAACATAGTTTTGTTCATGTAAGTATTGAATGCGCATAATCATCTGATCTGCCAACATTAGAACCGTTTTTTGAGTGAATTGTCCTCCGCAATAGTTGAGAAGATCCTCCAATGACGGCCCGAGCAAGTCGAGAACGAGAAATCGGTAGCCATATTGAGTACCCAACCCAAATCAAAAGTTATATTTGTGAGTGGCATTGTCAACACTTACCATTTCATCTTTGGGACTGCTGGGCCACCCTTGAGCCGCTTGTAGAGTCGAGCTTCATGGGGGAGTTGTGGGTGTCGAAGCTAAAGGAACAATGTTGAAAAGACATTTCGAACTTTAACCCAAACGCCAATGTCTTTGAAAGGAAGGTGCCACTACACCAAGATGGGGCCACTAAGAAATTTACATTTAATAAAGTCAAAAATCAAAAAAGCCGTAAATTTTTTTTTTTTTTTTGGAAAAATCACAACAAATGACTGCTTTGAATAGTCTTTTGCTCAAGAACCTTTCAAATATTAAAACTTATCCGTGCCAGTAATTTTTAAGTTAAGTATCACCTATTTGTTATGTTATTGTTATGTTATCTTTGTTTAGTTTTGTTAATTTAGAAAATTGGAAATAGTCAATGGAGTAAAGAAAGAAATCTACACCAACGGAAGTTGAATATAAATGCAAATTTCCTCGTGGCCCCATCCTTGCATAGCAGCACCGAAATGAAACCTTACTTCCGCTTTCTCAACTTTTATTGCCACTTCTTTCGCTTTCCGCACATCAATTGCAATGTAGATTTCACCGAAGGACCCCGAGCCGATCTTTTGGACGAGCAGATACCTTTTTGCAATCAACTTCAAATTGCCTAAAAAACTTATCACTAATGGTTTCAAAGATAAGCATAATAATTTTTTTACTGATAAAACAAAACCTACATTCTTCTACAAGATCAAATTGTTGTTTCATCAAGTGCCTCAGAGTGTACTGAAATCAAAGTTTCATGTTTGTTTTTGAAAAAAACAGAATTCTGTTTAAAATATGTTCAAACCACGACCGAAGTGGCAAGAGAGACAAATAAAAACCCAGTAAATGTTTAAGTAGGATTTTGAACCCATACATCCAAATTAACAACGATAAAAAAAGCTTTATTACACCAAATTCACCCAAACTAATAGCACTCTATTAATACATTAAAATTCTTTATCGTTTCCCCCATTTAGAAGCCAAAATTGTTCACGCTATTTGTTATCCAAGTAACCTGAATAAAAAGAAAATGTGCGATTAGTAAAAAACCTTACCGCTTTTTTTAGATTTTCTTTACAGACATTCGTAGTCTAAAATAAACCGTCAGATCGTAACGCTGGTTAATGGTACCTTTGCAAGATAGTTTGACAGTTCTTCATCGTCCTCTTCATCATCTTCTTCAACGCTCACTTGATGATACGGATGTCTCCGCCGATATTCAACCCATGCCTTTTGCCATTTTTTTCTCACCGCGAACTCCTCAGCCGAACGTCTCAACAGGCGGCAATCGGATTTCTAGATAAAAACAATATAAAATTAATCCAATTTTTTATAGCATATATGCTGTTTCGTACAATATATTATTTCTTTCTATTTCATCAAAAACTACCTTAACTCGTCGCTGAAATGGGTGTTCCTGTGAGACAAGGTTTGCAGCTGATAAAATAAACGCCATCTCATCCATCTCGCAGAATCGACAAAGAACCTTTTCTAAACGATAAATGATTATTTAAAAGGTCCTCAAAAATAAAGAAGTTGGACTAAATGATAACTTACCCAACAACATTCAAATCGATTTCTAACAGTCGAACGATACCAAAGGTGGTATCATCAGAACACATAGACGATGCGCTTCCTGAACCTAAACAGAAACATAATCATTTGGTTGCATCTATCCCAAACATTCAATCGTATACGCATTTTTGACAACTCGATGCTTAAATAGTCAAAAGATTGGTACTAATCAACTTCTGGGGACCACTTTGACCCGACTTGGTCAGACCCTATTCTAGGCGTGTTTTTTCTAGTCTTGCCTTGCTTTGCTTTTTCTGGGGTAATCAAATACGTTTAATCGATTGACAATATTTTTAGAATATTTTCAACAAGTTATCATAAAACTCCATCTAGCTTATCAAAATATCAATAAAGATTGTTCAAAACTTTCTAAAAATATTATCAATAGATTCATCATGTTTGATTACCCCAGAAAAAGTAAAATAACAAACAGGCAAAAAAATACATTCCGACCGAGTCGGGCCAAAGTGGGCTCCCCGAAGTTTATTAGTGTCAAAAGATTTGTTACCCGGCGTCGAATTGGTCCAATTCCTATCGCCGCGGTTATCCTCCTCGTCGTAGTCATCGGGATGAGAGACCGGGGAGTTGAAATTGAAGTTGATCTGTCGTATTCCTCAGAATCCGTTGCATCTCTAAAAAGAAACATTAGTATGAATTTAGACTTGAAACAAGGCTAAAACTGACGAGTCCCAGATGAGCTCCGCCGATCGTCTCGAGGAACTTCTCACGAGAGGACCCGGCACTCTCATGTTTTCCGGATACCATTTGTAGCCTAAAAAATTAATCCATTACTGGAACAATAAACTCAACAAAGTATTATTACAAGAAATGCATCAAATAAAACAAAACCTGTGAATGGCCGACGTTTGGAAGAGCTTTTCTCACCTTCATCGCAAGACGTTTCTAAAAAGCAAACATTTTATTAGCAAATAGCAAAAAAATATTATTTTGCATAAAAACAATTAGAAATTTTGCGTTTCAGTGAAAAGATCTAGTAGAATTTGTCAATGTTATTAGATAAAGTGCTTATAAAATCTTAAAGCCATAAAAACATGTAAAAGAAGCTCACCAAATAATTTCGTAATTTAAAGTTGCTGCGCGAATCACCCATACAACGATCCTCAGATGATCACCGACCAAATCATAAAAACGTATAGAAAAATGAGCGAAACGGAGGCGCATTTGACAAAGAAATGACGGGAAATCGCTTTTAAACGCAAATTTTTAATTACAACCTATTAGTCCAGGTAAAAGAAAAAATTAGGTAGCAGCAAAAAACTTTAAAACTTATATTTAGAGTAGATAGAACTGTGTTTTGCCAAATGAAAACTAAACTCGTGCAATGAGGATATTGTATATTGTAGAGCTAATGTAATGTTAAAAGTGTGTTTTCTCAAAAAAAATGTCAGTAAAAAGTACCGCAATCTTCTTTAGAGTCTCATTTTATTTATCAGATAACACTGGAATTTCTTTTAATTGAAATTTCTTTCTTTTACTGGAATTTCGCATGTCTCCTTTATCAAGCGGTTTATATAATAAGGGTGTTTCCATTAGTCATCTTCAATCACTCGAATGAGTATGTCAAGTAGCCGGCTGTCCGGTGAGATCTCTCAAAAGGAGATAGGAAGAGAGAGAAAGGTTGAATAGTGATCTCACTCTGGAATCTTTCCTCTTTTCTCTCCATTCCACTCTTCATTCACCCAATCGACCTCCCGTCATGCACCCAAGCGAGTGACCTGCCAATCAAGGCGTGACTCCTTCGTCCAAAAATCTCTCTTCTCTTTTACTTGTCTTTTGTGTGTGAGACTCCCCTCTCACTCATACTTTGATACTCCTTTGTCTTTGTTTCGAGTCAGAGTCGACTAGAGTCATTTAGTTGGGTCCTCTTCATCTTACCTTACTCATTCGCTTACCTATTTCATCTATGACAATCTGTTTTCAATTAGCTTTGTTTCATAGAGATCGTATCCTAGATGAAATTGAGTTATAGATCCAGACAATTTGATTGCATTAGACATTAGAATTTGACAGTTACATTGTGTACTTTCCAAACAATACGCCAAACAAGTTCTAAACATCTCCGCGAAAATTCTCCTCCCTTAAAACACCTCCAAGTTACAGCAGTATTGTTGTGCCTCTTTTGTTAGAAAGGGTTGGTGAAAGGAGTTTTCTTGTTGCAAGAAGTACCCACCACATAGAACATCGAATGGATAGCTGTCTGGCTATGATTGAGAGAAAGGAAAGGGATGTTTGGCTCGTATTTCGCGGCTCCCTGTAACGGAATCCCCCTTCACCGGACTCGCGTCCTAGAGTTAGCCCCCATCTCACAAGAAGCACACATCTTTTCTTTTCGGAAAACCTCTTGTACTTTTTCCCAATGCTGTAAGGTCTACGAAATTTTGGTTTTTGGTGCACATGGAATATGCCTAATGTATTAGATTTGTGTTTTTAAACACAGTTTTATCAAATTCGCTTTTTTGTGCTCAGGTTTAAAGTCTTGTCTCAATTTTAAGCTTGTAACGCTTTGTACTGCTGATTTGTTTCGATCCAACTAGCTTCATTTTTGGAACTTGAGAACTGTGATACATTATTTTTTGAATACCTAGCAGCTTTAAATGCCAACTACCATAGATGTTAGTTAGAATTATTCAAAGCTAAATTTGAATTTGATAAGTAGTACCGATTTCGTTCATTCATTGATTTCAGTGATTTCGGTACTTGAATCTAGGAGAACAAATGCTAAAAATCAATGGTTAATCAAAACGCTAAAGATCAATTTGCATACTAACTTACCAGCGGTAAGTCCTGGCCTATAAATACCAAATTAATATGCAAATTGATGAATCCTGTGAAAGAACTCACACTTAATAAACTCTATCAATGGGTAAATCTCGTGTGTAACCAATCCTAAAACATCCCCTTACTCAGTGCACTAGGGGGTCAAATTTCAAATGCGTTTTTACAGAAATCTAGAGCGTTTAGGCAAATACTAAAAACGCCATCGTGTTGCCCGTGTCCGACTTGCGCAAGTCATATAGCTTTGGTTCGGAGTCGCGCTTGCGAAATCTGGTCGTTTCCTAGTAAGATACAGGGCTCTTAGCCAGTCGGCCATCTTAGCCATCTCAAAAAAGTGCAGTGTATAAACACAAATCAACCTCGCTGTCACTTCTCGACCGCGCCCCTGTCTATCGCATTTCTCTAATTACCGCTAAACAATGCTGACAACCATGTTTCTTCTCGATTTCTTGTCCTTTTTCTTTCCCTCATTTCTCTTTCCATTTCCTTCATTCCTTTCATCATATAATTAGATCTCAGATTTTTCCAATGAGTGATCTGATTTGATTTTGCTTCTATTGTGAATTTTTTTTGCTTTGAAAATCCGATAAACCAAGAGAATTTTAGGATTTTTCAGGGAAAAGGGAAAAGTTACAAGTTACAAGAGATTCTTTAGATTAAACATATTAGACACAAATTTTTTAGGTCATAACTTTTTCATAAATATCATAATAAACTAAAAGGGAACTTGAATAAACTAAAAGGGAAATTGCGCTTTACTTGCGTACTCTGTGGTGCTTAAAACTGTAAGCAAATCCTTTCTAGTGCACTGAATTCTTCATTTTGCTCGAAAATGAAACCACTGCTTCGAAATGAGGCCTAAAGTTTACCAGAAATTCACGAGCACAAAGTACATTTACAACTAGCAAATGACCATTTTCCGACTAAAGAAAAGGATGACTTTTTGGATGGTTGTTCATTCACACGGCTGGGTAATCTCACTCTTTTGGAATCTGCTCTCAAAAAAGTGGAGAGACAAACTGAATTGCTCACTCACACGCACCACACCATTCTCCCATCATTCATCCATTTTTTCAGATATTTATCCGATAATATCGAATTGATATTATTATCTAGATATCTATTTTCTGGATTCAACACTTTCGTTGTCTTTCGTCTTTCGTTTGTCTTTCGTTAAGTCCTTTAGATTCTTTTATACAGGGTGGCTGAAAATTACGTGCGCCAAAGAAAACGCCATAATTTAATTTTCTTTCAAAGAACATGTAAAAATATTTATTTATATAATAGTTGTAACAAAAGCATTTAATAATTACAAGAAATTTTCGAAGTGGCCTCCATCCGCTTTGGCTTTAATTCAACAAAGGCTTTAATTCAATAAAGGCTTTAATTCAATAAAGGCTTTAATTCAACAAAGGCTTTAATTCAATAAAGGCTTTAATTCGCTTCTTTACATAATCGACGGTGAAGATAATTTGTAGATATCGTTATAGATAAGATTCGTTTCTAAAAAGTGAATAACTTGGAAAGCTGTAAAGCTGTAAACGTAAGAAAGCTGTAAACTTTTAGATTTTTAGATAAGATTTAGCTCACTCTGGTTCCTTTATCCATTTCAGCACTTGAGGAATCAATTTGTGCATTTTTCATATCTAACCAGAAGCCTATTTGATATTTTTAGTAAGCCTCGTTGAGCGAATAACTCTGCCCAACTTTGCCTTTGCTTTCCCCCATCTCTTTCCCATTTCGGATTCAGTACTCAAAAATTCGAGAGTTTTCTCTTCTTTGGGATCTCCATTCTCCTCTCCTTTTCTCCCTTCACTTATTCAATTCAACTCTCACTCACATAAAGCTTTTTTCCCCCATCCGAATCATCGTCATCACTTTTAAATATCCAAATTTTCGGAAGTTGATTTACTGATAGTTTCATCTTGCTTTTATTAGGTTTATATTTAAAATGAGCTTTATCCAAAGCTATCCAAAGCTATCCAAAGCTATCCAAAGCTATCCAAAGCTATGCAAAGCTATTCAAAGCTATCCAAAGCTATTCAAAGCTATCCAAAGCTATCCAAAGCTATTCAAAGCTATCCAAAGCTATTCAAAGCCTACAGTACTTTTATAATTCAAAAAATTTATCTCAAGCTGAAACTTTAGACTCATTATCAGTTGAGATTCATTGCCAGACTCATAACTTTTCAATTCATTTCAGTTCCAGTTTTTCGGGCCATTCTTTCCCTAACACAATCCTAATTACGAATCAAATCGAGATCTCGTTCAAGTCATATTGGAGCGTCATTTGTTGTGACCTCTTCTTGGATTGGAGTGAGGAAGAGAGAGGACAACCGCTAATTTGTCCCCTCCCCACTGCACGCTCATTGAGATAGGGTAACATTTGTTTTTCTTTCTACAAGATGAAAATAAAACTCTAATCTTTACTGACTAATCCTATTTCTCTTTTTAGATACGTTTTCCAAATTCTTTTTTGTCAAAAGAGTTTTGAAATTTATCGAATTTTTATAATGATCACAAATTTATAACGTTTAACACCGTTGAACTTTTACTACGATTTTCTTGAACTTACTTATAGTTACAGCTTTTGATAGATAGAAATTAATTAAATCAAGCAGGATTCAAGTCTATAATGTCTTTAGAATCTTACTACAATTACTCAATTCATTGCTTGCATTTCTCCGTTTGCTTTGTTTTGCTTTGCTTTGCTTTCCCAAGCCTTTCCTGGCCTTAGGCAATGGCTCTCTAAAAGTTTGAAGTTTTCAATTTGCGACAAACGAAAAAAAAAGGGAGCGCAAAGCCGAAAATGAGGAGCGAAAATGGAAAGAACCGTGGGGGGCAATGTAAACAACTGGGATTAGGAGAAGGGGATGCTAGATGCTATGAACGGAAAGGAGGAGACAATGACACAATGTTTTCATTTCATTTTAAAGACCTCGATTATTTTGTATGATTTAGACTAATTTGGCTTTTCTTTTTAAGAGGAATCGGCATCCTCTTGTGTTATTTAATAACAACGAAACAAAATAAACTTTTTGAACTCTTATTTAATGCAATGATAAGAATTTCTCTTTGATCCAGGCTCACCAATTGGCTTAGACTAGCCTGACTTATATCTAGATCCACAAAATAATAAAAACTTGAAGCAGATCATTATGCCAATCTTCAAGTCTGCCCACTGTTCGCTTATCTTCATTATATTTGCAGTAAGCCTGATCTACTTATGTCTAGAAGTCTGCTTGCCTCCAGGCTTGTCTCATACAGATAAAAGTACTCATTGTCAGCTGATAAGATTGAATAGCTGATGGATAGTGTTGCAAAAAGTGTTGCAAAGCTTTCTGTCCAAAAATTTTCCACAAAAACTTGAGTTCCTAGATTCTGAAGAATTCCCAATGATATTCATCTCTTCATTCAACATTTCCATCTCTTGATTTATGCGATTTGATCTCAAAATCATGCGACTCCGATCAAATCTTTGATACAAGAATGATTCCTACAAGAATTTCCTTTTCCCAATCATCATTTTCATCGTCTCCTTTTCATCTAATCCCTAGCAGAATTTCTCGTAATCCTTTCGCGACACGACTCTTAATCGGTCCCACTTTCACCAAAACAATCATCATTTCACTCTGTCTTTTATTTAAGCTCAACTAATTGGACTTTAAAAAAAAGTTATCCATAAAATTTTTGAACTCTTATTTATGATAAGAATTTATGCAATGATAAGAATTTCTCCTTCATCCAAGCTCATCAATTGGCTTAGACTAGCCTGACTTATATCTAGATCCACAAAATAATAAAATCTTGAAGCAGATCTGAAAACATTACTCTTCATTTATTTTTCTTTTTTAACTGTCTTAGATCTTTTGTTGAAAGTTCGATAATCGATCGTTTAACTTTCAATTACCGTAGCTCAAAAC